CTTGTAGCAGCGGGGTTTTCCCTGAAAAATCTTTGGGACAAGATTGAGTTTTAGGACCAAAAGTTCGAAAATCATGATCTGGGGTAAAATTTAAAAAGGTCTGAAAACCCGACCTGCTCCTCCCAAAAATCTTTCGAACAGTCGCACTGGGGGGGCCCCAAAAGTGGAGAAAAATAGCCTCAACAAATGCTTCGAGTGTGTCCGGGGAAGGGTACAGCCCCCCTCCTGGCAGTGAGGCTCCTCGTGGGAGGGGACCTTTTTGTTGGCTGTTTCCCAACTCCGCCTTGGGGACACGCCCCCGAACCCCCAGAAACCCCCCCCGCATTGGTGTTTCCCTTTGACTTGGCGCCTCTATTTTGCCGAACACAGGTATTTTTTTGGAAATGAAGCAGCAGACCCCATTCCAGTACCTGGGCTTTTGGCCGTAAAAACCGAGGGAAAAAATTTCAAGAACCCTGAGGAGGTTTAAAAAACATTATCAAGAGGAGGGCCTTACGACCCGCCGGAATTTCCCAGCAGTAAGGGAACCCCCCCCCTGGGGGCCCCCCCCTTCCCGGGTAAAAAATTTTTTTTTTTGGGAAAACCCCCCCAAACCCCGGGGGGGGGGGGGGGGGGGGGGGCCCCCCCCCCGGGGGGGGGGTTTTTTTTTTGGGGATTTTCCCCCCCGGGGGGGAAAAAAAAAATTTTGGGTTTTGGGGGCCTGGAAAAAAACAAAATTTCCCCCCCTTGGGGGAAAATTTAAAAAAGGAAAAAAATTAAAAGGGAAAAAATTTTAAAAAATTTTTTTTAAAAAAGGGAAACCCCCCGGGGGGGGGTTTTAAAAAATTTTTTAAAAATTTTTTCCCCTTTTAAAATTTTTTTTGGGGGGGAAAAAAAAAAAAAAAAGGTTTTTTTTTTTTTTTTTAAAAAAAAGGGGGGGGGGGAAAAAAAAAAAAATTTTTTTTAAAAAAAAAAATTTTTTAAAATTTAAAAAAAAAAAAAAAAAATTAAAATTTTTTAAAAAAAATTTTTTAATTAAATTTTTGTATTAAAAAATTTTTTAAATTTTTTTTTTTTTTTTTTTTTAATTTTTTTTTTTTTAAAATTTTTTTTTCCCTTTTTTTTTTTTTTTTTTTTTTTTTTAAAAAAAAAAAAATTTTTCCCCCCGTTTTTTAAAAAAAATTTTTTTTTTTTAAAAAATTTTTTTTTTTTTATTTTTCCCCTTTTTTTTTAAAAAACCCCCCAAAAGTTTTTAAAAATTTTTTTTTTTTTTTTTTTTCCCCCCCCCAAAAAAAAGGGTTTTTTTTTTATCTAAGTTCCTTAAGGAGCTAGGCAAAAGACTCATCATGGTAACTAGGGATCCCAGGGCAGCTAGTTTTCTGTTCCAGCGACTCAGTGCGGCTGTTCAGAGAGATAATGCCTGCTGTATTTTGGGCACACGCCCCAGCTCTGAGGAGCTGGATGAGATTTTCGCATTATAATCAGTGACAAACATGTATCTCTCACACCTCATGTACTGTGTGCCATCTTTGTATCAGCAATGTATCTCTTAAGTCTTTTGTACCATATTATGTAATAAAATATATATATTGGTAAAAAAGAACGAAAAAATGGGGTGGTAGGGGAAGTGGAATATTCAAATGGCTTCAGGAAGAAATCCGAATATTCTTCCTTGAAGCCTTTTTGTCCACTTCTCCGAGTCTATGCATCCCACAATTTACACCAGAGGTGGACCCCATATATATATATATATATATATAATAATATATATATATATATCTATATATATATATATATATATATATATATATATATATATATATATCTATATATACTATTTATATATATATATATATATATATATATATATATATATATAATATATATATATGTATATATTATATATATATTATATATCGTGCCGAATAGGTAAAATTGGTCAGTTAGCAAGAACTCATTTAAAATTAAGTCCATTCTAAAATTTTCTCTTATACATTTAAAGATATAATTTTTTCACTTACATTAATGCAAAAATTAATAATTTTGTAACAAAAGAACCTTAGAAAACTTACCTGACCTTATTATAACAAGCGCAATTTAATTTAGCCTAATCCAACTAAATAAATTTTAGATAAGTTTACAATAATTTAATAATAAACAAATACAATGAAATTTGTTTTTTTCGTTAGGTTCAGAAAGATTTTTGCGAAATGATTGCATACACAAATTTTGGCTTGCCTTATTCGGCAAGAAGAGCGTTGCTATTTAAGCCAAAATCGCAGTATTTCAGAATCAGTATTTCAATTTTGCCAGTTTCTTGTATAAAAAAAAAAGTTGGCATCACCACTGGCCAAAAACTTATCTCTAAGTAAGATTTACCAGCGGTTAAAGTTGGAAACCCACCTGATTCCAAGTTTTTTTTAACAGTGTAAGTAAAAGTTCAAATTTGCACTTAGACTGAACTTGTTGGGCATCATACTTCTTAGGAATACGTCATCATTAATGTTACCTGGAGGTTATTCCGGGGATCAACGCCCCCGCGGCCCGGTGCATGACCAGGCCTCCCGGTGGATCAGGGCCTGATCAACCAGGCTGTTACTGCTGGCCGCACACAGTCCAACGTACGAGCCACAGCCCGGCTGATCCGGCACTGACTTTAGGTATCTGTCCAGCTCTCTCTTGAAGGCAGCCAGGGGTTTATTGGTAATTCTCCTAATGCTTGATGAGAGGCTGTTGAACAGTCTTGGGCCCCGGACACTTATTGTGTTTTCTCTTATTGTACCAATGGCGCTCCTACGTTTAATTGGGGGTATTTTGCATCGCCTGCCCAGTCTTTTACTTTCGTAGGGAGTAATTTCTGTGTGCAGATTTGGGACCATTCCTTCCAGGATTTTCCAAGTGTAGATTATGATATATCTCTCCCTCCTGCGTTCCAACGAGTACAAGTCAAATGCTTCCAAGCGTTCCCAGTAGTTAAGGTGCTTGACAGAACTTATACGTGCAGTAAAGGATCTCTGTACACTCTCTAGATCTGCAATTTCACCTGCTTTGAATGGAGATGTTAATGTACAGCAGTATTCCAGCCTAGAGAGAACAAGTGATTTGAAAAGGATCATCATTGGCTTGGCATCTCTCGTTTTGAACGTTCTCATTATTCATCCTATCATTTTCTTTGCACTTGTGATCGTGGCACTGTTGTGATCCTTGAAAGTGAGATCCTCAGACATTACTACTCCCAGGTCTCTTACATTATTTTTCCGCTCTATTGTATGGCCAGAGTTTGTAGTATACTCTGTTCTAGTTATTATCTCCTCCATAACAACGGAGGAGATAATAACTAGAAGTTTTCCATAACGGAGTAGTTGGAATTTGTCCACATTGAACATCATATTGTTTTCCGTTGCCCACTGGAAAACTTTGTTTATATCTTCTTGGAGGTTAACCGCGTCCTCAGCAGATGACAGCCTCATGCAGATCCTAGTATCATCCGCAAAGGATGATACGGTGCTGTGGTGTATATCTCTGTCTATGTCTGATATGAGGATGAGGAATAAGATGGGGGCGAGTACTGTGCCTTGTGGAACAGAGCTCTTCACTATGGCAGCCTCCGATTTAATTCTGTTGACCACTACTCTTTGTGTTCGATTTGTTAGGAAGCTGAAGATCCATCTCCCCACTTATTTTGTGCGCTATTACGCCATGATCGCATTTGTCAAACGCTTTTGCAAAGTCTGTGTATATTACATCTGCATTCTGATTTTCTTCCAGTGCATCCAAGGCCATATCATAGTGATCCAGTAGTTGTGAGAGGCAGGAGCGACCTGCCGTGAACCCATGTTGCCCTGGATTGTGCAGATTTTGGGAATCCAGGTGATTTGCAATCCTGCTTCTTAGCACTCTTTCAAAGATTTTTATGATGTTGGACGTCAGAGCTATTGGTCTATAGTTCTTAGCTAATGCTTGCTGCACCTTCATGGAGTGGGGCTATATCCGTTGTTTTAAGTGACTGTGGAATTTCACCCATGTCCAAGCTCCTCCTCCATAGTGTACTTAGGGCACGCGAGAGGGGTTTCTTGCAGTTCTTAATGAATACAGAGTTCCACGAGTCTGGGCCCGGGCTGAGTGCATGGGCATGTTGTCAATGGTTTTTTCGAAGTCTTGGGAGTTGGGTAATTCAAAATCGGCATACTTTTAGGAGTTTTGAGGCTCTTTCATGAAGAAACTTTTGGTCGTCGATCCTCAACGATTAGTGGTTCACAAACCAGTCGTGAGACGATCACAAGAACATTTTTAATAACGGAATAAAAAAAATATCACATTTACCAAAAAAGGGAAGATTGGATTTATTTCGGGAATAACATATGAATTTGGGGTGCCGGGAAAAAAAACCACCCCAGTGGTAAAATTTGAAGGAGACCAGATGAATTATTCCCAGTAAGGGGAATAATTTTTTTCGCAACGTTTTACACAAAAAGGGGCCACTGTGTTGCTCTCTGCTGAATTTTACTCTCCACCGTCTAGTTTTTTCCGATAATTTCTAGGTCTGAAGCTCCACCACTCAGGATTTAGAAAGTGCCCTTTATTTCCAGGAGCGGGAAAAAGTTTAATAACGTTTGGGCATAGGGCACCTCACTGTGTTGGCCTCACATTTCCATGTTTTTTGAATTTGGTCTTCGTTAACGTACCAAAGCAAAAAAATTTAAACTAACGGTGAGTGTTTCTCCCCGTTTGAGGGTATAATTCAAAGTAGGAGGGGAAGAAAAAAGTGAAAAAAAAAAAAAATTCAAGCACCATGTTAAGGTTTTCCCCTTTTAGGAACATTAAAAAAATTAATAATAATAATAATAAAATAATAAAAAATAATTTAAAAATAATTTTTATTATTATTAATTTTTTATTATTATTATTATTATTTTAAAATTTATTATTATTATTTTAAAATGCATATTTTGAAAAAAATTTTAAATTTGGATTTTAAAGGTAACTAAATAATATTTATTTATCAGGGTTTAAATGCGAGCCACACTCCAGTGTGAGGGGTGTAATTTTGGGTGAATCCCTGGATTTATGAAGGAGGTACCCGGCCCAGATGCCCACTATGTATGGTCCTGCTCTACACCACGGCATCAGGTACACCTTGTGGTTGTACTCCAACATGTCCTCTGTGCTGGAAGGTAAGACGTTGTGATTGTTAGCATTGTGACGACATAAACCGTGAGCTGTACTTAGGTATAGTATCGCAAGTTGCACTTGTAGTAGCGTGTTTACCTAACTGATTTTGTCTTAGCTTGTTGCTCGACCTCTTGGCGTAATTCACCGCTGTCCAATACATCTTTCAAGACAACATGATACTTCTACTACTTTTTTACTTTCACTTTTAGTTTATTTCTTCATTTCTTACCTTTAAAAGTTTTCCCAAACGTCTGCCAGACTCCTCTGCATATCCCGCTTCCATTATTTTTAGTTTGTACACTCGCAGCTTAACTTGTCAGTAGTAGCGCAACGAAAAAGTAAGAATTACAAAAGTCTTAACTGACCATTGGAAGACGTAGTACTACTTTCCATTGCAGGCGCCACGTCATATAATAAATGATAATACAGTTAATATCACGTATCGCCTGTGGTGGAACGGTAGTGTCTTCCAATGGTCAATTAAAACTTCTGTAATTTTTTTTTTTTGCGCTGCTGCTGACATGTTGAGCTACGAACGTACAAGCTAAAAATAATAGAAGCTGGATATGTAGAGGAGTCTAGTAGACGTTTGGGAAAACTTCTAAGTGACTCTTCTCATGCTGCTATAAGGCTCTGGATCCTAGGAACTAGAGCTACCCTCCCCTTTGATCAGAACTCTTTACCTCCCAAAGGGGTTGTACGACTTCCTATGGGTTTACCACATCCCCATGAATTAAAAAAAATACTTATTAGTTGTATTATCATTTATAAGTATTTTTCTAAATCCTTGGGGAAGTGCTAAACCCGTAGGGAGTCATACAACCCCTTGAGAAGCTGGAGGTAAAGAGTTTCGGTCGAAGGGGAGGGAAGCTCCAGGTCCTAGGATCCAGAGCCCTTTAGCAGCATGAGGGGAGTCACTTGAAGAGTATGAGACTTACTCATTAAGGAGGAGGAGGCTGGCTGGCCAGGTGTGGTACACGCCCACGATCACTGCAGGTACTACTACCGACGCCCCTGTCCACGCCCACACCCATGCCCACGCACGCCCTGAAAGAAAGTTATTGCGCCTGAACACTGTCCTAAATTACTGTACCTACGATGAGAAAACATGTACACTCAGATCTGCAGAAGCGTAGTGTACACACACACAAACACAGACACACACAAACACACAACACACACAACACACACACACACACACCACACACCCACACACACACACACACACACACACCACACACACACACACACATACACACACACACATACACACACACAAGGAGATTAGTAGAAGAGCCAGAAACGAGTATGCACAGATAAGGAGGGAGGCCCAGCGACAGTATGAAAACGACATAGCATCGAAAGTCAAATCTGACCCGAAACTGCTGTATAGCCACATTAGGAGGAAGACAACAGTCAAGGACCAGGTGATAAGGCTGAGGAAAGAAGGTGGAGAACTCACAAGAAACGATCAAGAGGTATGTGAGGAGCTCAACACGAGATTTAAGGAAGTATTTACAGTAGAGACAGGAAGGACTCTGGGGGGACAGACCAGATGGGGACACCAGCAAGGAATACAACAACAAGTGTTGGACGACATACATACAGATGAGGAGAGGTGAAGAAACTGCTAAGGGACATCGATACCTCAAAGGCAATGGGACCGGACAACATCTCCCCGTGGGTCCTTAGAGAGGGAGCAGATATGTTGTGCGTGCCACTTACCACAATCTTCAACACGTCCCTGGAAACTGGGCAACTACCTGAGGTATGGAAAGGGCAAAGTAGTTCCCTTTTTTTTAAAAAAAGAGACGAAAAAGGCACTAAATTTAAGCCCCTTGTCTTTGACGTGTATATTTTAAAAATTATGGAAAGATTACAGAGGAATGGGGAGACCTGGAAGAACAAGAATAAAGCCAACCAGCAGGGATTCACAAGGAAAAATCCTTGTCACAAAACCTTCGGGATTTTTATATAAAAAAACAGAAGTAAACACGAGAGAGAAGGGGGGGTGATTGCATCTTTTTGGGACGCAAAAAGGCCTTTGCACAGTTCCTCACAAGAGATTAGTGCAAAAGCTACGCATCAGGCGCATATAACAAAAGGGCCGAAAAGGATCAGAGAATCCCTGCAGGGGGGCAACAACGATCATGGTACTAATGAGTACAAGGGGGCACCTTGAGACGGGGTCCCAAAGGTGGGTCCTAGGACCGTGCATTTTGTATATGTGAACGCAGAGGAAAGGGTTAGACTCAGGGGTTCCCTGTTTGCAGATATGTGAAGTTAAGAGGAGAATAAATCTGATGGGGACCGTGGGACTTTAAAAGACCGGGACAACTGGACCCTGGTCCAGCAAATGGTTTTCTCAAATTTTAATCCTGCCAAATGCAAAGTCAGAAATAGGGGAAGGCACAGAAGCCCACAACAGAGTATAGGCTAGGTGGCCAAAGACGCAAACCTCACTAAAGGAGAAAGATCTTGGGTAGTATAACACCGAGCATGTCCCCCGAACACACATAATCAGATAACTGCGCAGCATATGGGCGCCGGAAAACCTGAAACAGCTTTCCGACCCTAGTAAGGAAATCGTTCAAGACACGTAACCGGTTATTTAGGGCCCAAACTGGAGTATGCAGCACCTTTTTGGAACCCCACTGAAAAGCACTCAAGAAACTAAAAAAGTAAAAAGGGTTTCCCACGGGTTGTTCCAACAAAGGGGAATTCCTATGAAGAAAGATTAAGGGAAATGGGCCTGACGACACGGGGACGGGAGGGTCAGGGGGACAGATAACGACATAAAAAATACGCGGGGAATAACAAGGGGGACAAAGACGGGATTTTTCCGGGGGGGGGGACCAAAAAAAAGGGGCCACTTTTGGAATTGAAGACACAAATGACAAGAGATATTGGAAGTATTTCTTTAGTCATAGATTTTTTAAGGCAGGGAAAAGCCTAGAAAATGATATGGAGGCAGGGAAACCTACACAGTTTTAAGACGAGGGTTTTATAAAGCTCATGGAGCGGGGGGAGGAGGGGCCCCTAGCAACCGGGAAGAGGGGGGGCCCGGAGCAAACCGACCCCGCACCACAAAAAGGTGAGTACAAATGGTGAGGGCACATCACACACAAAAACAACACACACAAACACCACACACACACCCACACACACACACACACACACCACCCACACACACACACCCACCCACACACACACACACACACCACAACACACCAACCACACACACAACACACCCACAACAACACAACAAACAACACACAAACACACACACCCCCCACACACACAAAAAACCACACAAACACAGACACACAAACAAAAACACACCCAACACACACACACACAAACACAAACACCACACACACACACACACAAAACACACACACACACCACACACCCACAACCCACACACACAAAACCCAAAAACCCAACCCCCACACCAAACACAACCACACACAAACACAAAACACACAACACACACACACCACACACACCCACACACAACCCCACACACACACACACACAACACACCCGCTAAAAGGTATGTTCACGAGAGAGGTTAAGGAAATCAACCGACGACACTGGAGGACAGTAGAAGGATAGGGGGGACATGATAACGACAAAGCAAAATACTGGACAGGAATGACAAGGTGGACAAAGACAGGATTGTTCCCAGAGATGAGACACAGCAACAAGGGGACACAGTTGGAAGTTGAAGACACAGATGAATCACAGGGATGTTAGGAAGTATTTCTTCAGCCACAGAGTAGTCAGGAAGTGGAATAGTTTGGGAAGCGAGGTAGTGGAGGCAGGATCCATACATAGCTTTAAGCAGAGGTATGATAAAGCTCACGGTTCAGGGAGAGTGACCTAGTAGCGACCAGTGAAGAGGCGGGAGCCAAGAGCTTGGACTCGACCCCTGCAACCTCAACTAGGGGAGTACACACACACACTCTAAACTGAAAAACTATATGCTAAACTAAACACCGAAGAAGCAGTAACACGAGCATATATCTCTGCTCCTGTAGCCAGAAATATAAGAAAAGTTTCGTAGAAATTAGACGGTGAGATAAGTGTACTCACTGCTCTTGGGCCAGTAGCAGAGTGGCAGGAGAACTATAGGAGTGAACACGTAGAGTTGCATGTCCACGGCAGTGTACCAACAGTGAGGTAAACACTGTAAAGAAACAAGGGTAGAAGTGAGGCACCACACTGTAAACAGTCACAATAGTATCAGTAAGGTAGACATTGTAAACAGTACCAATGGTATTAGTGAGGTAAACATTGTAAACAGTCCCAATGGTATCAGTGAGGTAAACATTGTAAACAGTCCCAATGGTATCAGTGAGGTAAACACTGTAAAGAAACACAAAACACAAGGGTAGAAGTAAGGCAAGACACTGTAAACAGTCACAGTGGTATCAGTGAGGTAGACATTGTAAACAGTCACAATGGTATCAGTGAGGTAAATGCTGTAAACAGTTCCAATGGTATCAGTGAGACAGACATAAACAGTCTCAGTGGTATAAGTGAGATAGACATAAACAGTCTCAGTGGTATCAGTAAGATAGACATAAACAGTCTCAGTGGTATCAGTAAGATAGACATAAACAGTCTCAGTGGTATCAGTAAGATAGACATAAACAGTCTCAGTGGTATAAGTGAGATAGACATAAACAGTCCTATGGTATCAGTAAGTAGACATAAACAGTCTCAGTGGTATAAGTGAGATAGAACATAAACAGTCTCATGGTATCAGTAAGATAGACATAAACAGTCTCAGTGGTATCAGTAAGATAGACATAAACAGTCTCAGTGGTATCAGTGATGTAGACACTGTAAACACAAAAAACGTAAAGTAAAACTTACCAAACACTTTGAGCACATACTCTAAATCGCCTGGAAATAGTTAAACTATAACTTGTAATGGATAAAAATGTTCCTATATGCTTCAGCGTCTAGTACTAGGTGGTTGTGTGTACCCAAGTTTGTGGTACCCTGGTGGTGTACCCAGGTGGTTGTGTGTACCCAATGTTGTGGTACCCAGGTGTGTGTAACCCAGGTAGTTGTTGTACCCAGAAAAGCATATCAACATGACCATGATACAGTAAGCCCCAAACGGAGGACCATGCACAGAAGCTTCACAATGTTTGCTCCATATATTATATATATTATCA